AGGCCACAGTAACAGGCCTGGGGGGTTCGGGCTTTTCCAGCCAGCTCTGCCAGCCATCTACCAGTGAACCCTGCATTGCAGCCCCCTCCTGTGTCACTGGCACTTCCCACTGCCTCACCACCGTCCCACTGTATCGCCAACCTGCCTGCCTGCGCTGCCCTCCCCTGCGGAGACGCACACGTGTCTGGGAGCTGGCAGAGCTGACTTAGGAGAGACGATGAAATTAGCCCATATTTGGAGCTATTGGAATGCAGATGTGGCTAAGGAACATGGTGACTAAGGGCGTCGCGGGAGCTAATCCCCAGCCTGCGTGGCAGAAATAGGGCACCCGCCTTTCAGTCGGGCATGACGCACGCCAGCGAGAGCTCTGCCGGCACCAGGGGCGACGCTCGTTGGGATTGACCCCGACAGTTTCTAGCAGCAGCTCAGCGGGGGCTACAGTAAGGCAGGAATGAGAACGGCACATTCAGGGATCCAAGAGACAGAGGCCATCCATCCCCATGCTTCAGCCCCAGCTGGGGTCAGGAAGCAACAGCACCTCACGCTACAGCTGGTGATGTAACTCCTTCCTCTGGAGCATCAGCCATTGGTCGCTGCTGGAGGCAGGATCCGGGGCCCATTTGTCCTGGCCCCATGTGGCAGTTCCTGTGCCCTCACGCCAGTCTGCATGTCACAATGCAGAGACAGGCTGCATCTACCAGGCAAATCCCCCCGCTCTCCCACTCCTTGGGGCGCAACAGCGACCCTAGCACTGACAGGCACGGGGATGTGCTCTAACCCGGCTCTGATCAAGTCTAGGTCGCAGCAACGCCAGAGCCCTGTCTGCGCTAGTCCCCCACTCTACTGCGAACGCCAGCAGAGCTGCACCAGTGCTCGCAACAATGGGGGAGCCCCCCGGGGCGCCTCCTGCAGGCCAGGCCCCAGCACCGGGCAGCCACACGGGGGCACAAAGGAACCCGGCCTGCTGATTGGTCTGGCCTGTAGCACTGTCATTGCTGTTCACCTGACTCCGGGCACAGGAGCAATTAATGCTCTCTGCGCACTTGCTCCTGGCCCAGGTGCCTGCCCAGAGTCCGGGAGCCCCGCTCCCAGCAGGCAGCCAGCCAGCCCCAGGCAGTACTGAAACGGACGCTGGATGAGGCGCGGGGAAGCCGGAAATCCCATCATTCCCCTGTTACATGTAATGGAAGGACATTAGTCAGGCTGCACGATCCCGGGTGGAAACACCGCAGGCAGGCTCCAGCGGGTGCTGCTGCCTCTTGCCCGCACCCTGGGGGCTCCGCCCGCCTGTGTTTGCACCGAACAGACCCCACCACCAGCCTGACCTTGTAGCCAAGCTTGTTACCCCAGGGCTGGTGGGATCTAGCAACGCCCACCCTGGCGAAGCCCTGCTGGAGCCCCTGAACGGCCTGCCCCCTGCATTCCCCATGGGGAGTCAGTCTGCGCCCTCCAGAACGAGCGACTCCAGCAGCGCACGGTGAGTGTGGGACCAGGGCATGGCCGTGAGGCTGCGTGGTAGGCCAGGGGCTGCCATGCCCTCTGGGAGCTCAGGGCCGGCTACAAGAAGCCACGTGTGCCAGGTAACAGAGTCAGGCTGAGCCAGGCTGTCCCCCTGCGCTTTGCTGACTGACAGCGGCAGATGCCCTCAGCTCTGGCCTGGCCTCTAGGGGGCGCTGTTGCACCCCCACTCACTAATACTGGTGTTAGGGGCACGCAGCTGCTGCCCCGTCCATCCTCGGGGCAGCCCCCCGCCCACACAGCCTCCCAGCCACTGCCCTGCAGGGTCCCTTCTCAGGCCGCACTCGGGGCAAGGGGGCTGCATTTAAAGTGGCCCCTTTTATTAAGGGGAGTCAGAGGAAAATGGGCTCTCAGCCAGGGTGCTGCCCGCTGAAGCCCAACGGCGTCCCACTCGACCCCAGCGCATCCCCATGTGCCCTAGGGCTGGAAACACCACTGCTCCACTCCGGTTGGTGGGCACCCAAGGGACCAGCTCCAAGGCACCCAGAGGACCCTCCGGTGCATTCTGGGAATGTGGGCGTGGCCCATGAGAAGCCCCTCCCCACATCTGCAGCCTGCCTCTGCACCAGTCTCCCGTTCTGAGCCAGCTGGGTCCGTGTTCACGCCCATGAGAGACCAGAGCCAGGCCCTGGCCCAGGGAGCCTCTGCCAAGGGGGACAGCAGCTGAAGGGCCTGTGGCCGGAACGGGAGCCGAGCTGTGCCGGCACAGGGTGTGAGGAAGGGCCCTGCCAGGACAGCACTGGGCTTCTCCGCCTCGCCCCGCACCTGCCAGCCCCCCATCAGCCTGACGGCTGCCTGTGAGAATCCCCACGGGGGGTGGGCAGAGCCCCCCTCATCCCCAGCTCACCAGAGCGCTCAAATGGCCCGATTTCTGCCGGTAAAATGATTTTATCTGCCTTGAATTTGCCTTCCCCGCCTGCTAGTAAATCCGCGGCTGGAAACGCAGAGCGCACCGGGAGCCCGCTCAGCGCCTGGAGTTAAAACTGCCCTCGCCCAGAGCGCACAGGCGCTGGCCGGCACAGGGAGGCCTACGGGAACTCGACACTGGCGAGCGGGGCTGGCCTGGCAGCTCCTGGGATGCGCGGCTCCAGTT